GAATCTTGGTGCGAGCCTATGACAATAGGAAATTCTCTGCTGCTGATCCTACTAGATCTCACACTCAGGATTGCCCATCATATATCCTCAATAACATTGAGACATCTACATAGAAAATCTTTTTGACTTCCGAAAATTCACTAATAGACATGAAATTTATCAGAATCAAGACGACCAAGTCTAATGGGGAAAAGGATTGCCGTGTAAGTAAAGTGGAAAGTCTTACAATAACTATTACCCATTTAGCAGTATCTTTTGACATACGATCACTTGAAGTTCAAGCATGACTGGCAAAAAATGTTGCGACAGATTATTAGAAAATTGAGTAATGAGACGCGCAAGTATTATTACACTTGCACTAGGTGCAAGTTGATCCTACCTAATTATGTATAGGCCTAACCAAGTGCTTTTTTGGAAGAGATTAAATTATAACAAAATCCGTTCAGATCAGACCAGGAGGAATGGGATTGGTCTGACTTCTCACTCGGATGTAAGACTCCCTCCGCCAACAGATGCCCCATGCCACCTTTCATGAGCAATCATTTTTGGTCAAATATAATTTTATCCACATATTTCATAGATCACACAACTATTACCCCCTTTTTATCCACACATTCTATGGAACTTCCCAATTAAACTTTAATTTTAACTCTCCCAAACAACCACTAAGGCTTTCCTAAATATTTATTTTATTTAATTTTTGGAGGCTACTCATGGCGAAATTCATAACGGGCCACCTTATTGTACAGTTTTTGCACAAGCTAGACATCAAATCTCATCTTCCAACTCTCTTCATGGTTTCTAGTTCATACTCCTTCAAGATGTACTCATGTATAGAGGCTCCATCTTTGATAGTGGCATAAGCTACTCTTAACATACAAATCCCGTTCATATTTTGCTCCAACATATTAGACACTTGTATTGATTTTGTCATGCTTAAATGAAGTGTCATTAACTTCCATATAATTGTTTTCTTGCATTTATCAATTCTTCCATGAGTTCTCTGTAGCTATGAAGATTTCCAGATAGCAAAACTATTTCCTGAGAACTCCTAAGAAAATCACGAGAGATGTCCAAAATTGGACTCACCATAAAAAAGTGGAAATTAGGCGACAAAGAATACCTTTCTTTATAGAACAGAAAGTAAAAATAAGGAGACTAACTATGCTTAAGGAAATTGAAGCCAATCTAGCTTGTGATGTGCTATCACAAGACAAGTTCTAGAAATTCACTGTTGCACTCTCTCAAATCAATTTTGAACTACATTTTCGATGATATCCTCATTGAAAAATATATTTGAATTCTTGAATATAAAAAAGTGAAGAGGACAACGTTTCTGAACTTCTTGTTCTGCTAACAATAAAAGAAAACACCTTGTCACACCCCACCCTCACCCAAATAAAAGTTGTCGTCTATCCTAATGCCCAGTCCATTCTCAATCAGTATCTCATTAAATAGGACAAGTCCTAAGTAATATTACTCGATATTTCAATAGCTTCCATTCACAAGTCATAGAGTGAAGTTTTTATAATCAAATTTTTTTTTTTTTTTCTTTTCCCTAAGCCATTACTTGGCAGATATGTTATCATCTTGATAGACAACTCATATGGTATGAAAAACAAAATGAATATCAAAGATCTTTCTTTGTGAAAGAGATTTCATAAGCTTCAAATTGATCAATGATGGCTAACATCCAGGCTATCAAAGATGAATAGAACTCTCAAGACTAGAGAATACGTACAGAAAAGTGCCTTTTTGATGTTATAGGAAATTGCAATATGTAGGTTTCTTCTTCCATGAGAGTAGATATACTAGAAGTCCAAAAGCTTGTGAACAATTTCAACCAACCAGAGAGGGGATAAGGAACAAGGACAGATAATCTCCAAAGGTAAAACAGGTTTTTCAAGGTAAACTTGTATTCTTTACAAATTACAATAACTGTCTATGCACCTATTGATGCATACGGTTCAGAAACAATAAAATTTTCAAAAAAATCAAAGAATAGGTTGAGTCATCTTTCTTTTTTCCTAATCTTTTCCATACATGCTTTCAATCTCGGGATTCCACTATTCTCTATTTAGCCGGGCAACCCCTTCAATCCATCCAATCAAGGGAGTGGAAAGGATCACCTGAAGCTGGAGATCCTATGGCGAATTCATCCTTTGTTATCCTTCTGTTCACATCAACACAAGGAACTCCTTGCTCATTCAAGTTCAATACCATCGCATAATTCTTATTGACCGAGTTCAACGTTGAGTGGCCATAGTCAGTTCATCGCTAGTGGCGTAATCAGAGGAAACCTATGTTAGAAATATTACTAGTTGCAATACAGTAAAGTGCAGAAATAAAAACTTATAGACTAATCGAGTCTCGTGACAGCACGATATCCTAAAGCAAAATTGCCAGTCGATAACTGCTGTAACCTCAGTGGACAATCACCTCCAGGATACAACGATCAAATAAACCAATTGTGCAGCAATCACAAATGGTTTTCAGAACTCTCAAGTATACTCCAGAAAATACGTATAAAGTTGAGTATAATATTTTACTGAAATAGGAAGATACAATTTTGTATTGTGATAATTTTCTAATGCCCAAATGTGTGTTTATATAGACAGAAAAATGATGTAACTGCATCTACCATGAACCAGTATTATTTGTAATTTTTATGGCTAGTGGTAATAGGTTGTTAATACTGGAGAGTTAAAAACTTTCATATATTACCGGCTATTTGACCCATTAAATAATTCCGAAAATGATTAAAAAATAATAATTTATTATTAGAATCAATTAACCCAAATGCCCCAATCAAAGACTTTTAATATAATGCGTGAGGTGTGACTCGAACCCCCAACCTCCCATACAAATCCTACACTTTTCACCAATTGGGCACTTCATATGAATTAATTATTTCTTTTATATATTATACTTATTGTATAAATATCTAACAACCTATTCAGTTGGGAAATAAGGAAACTTACCTCACTCCATATGCTTGCTACTGAAATTGTGGTTAAGACCTAAAATGCATGGATACTTGTAAACTCATTAGGTACCCATATCCGATATGTATTCAAGTTCGGATACTCTTCGAACGCTCCAATATATACCAGATACGTGTTTTTTAATTATTTTATATTTTTTATATTTTGTGAATTTTTGATACATATCGGATACGTAATATATTATTTTATATTTTTAATTATTTCCGATACATATCAAATACGTTAGGACAGGTAAAGAAGGATTTTATTGGTTTTAAACTCTTTTAGAACTCATTATTATTAACAAAGTTTTTTTTACTTAATAGATAATATTACGAATAATTTATTGAAAATAGATAATATTTATTTGAAATACACCCAGAGTTTTAAATTAATTGACCACTAGAGTTCTTTATTGGAAAGACACAACAGTATTAAGGGTCTGTTTAACCCTCATTTTTTGTGTCGAATGCATTTTGGAATAGTATATTGATGGAGAATATATGATTAAAAATGATGGAAAATCTTTTAGGTTGCGTGTAATATTATTTTATTGAAGAATGTTTGGTTGAAAAAAAAAAAAGAGAAAAATGTATTTTGAAAAAAATGGGGATCAAACATGGTCTAAATCTGTTAATAAATGTAAAATCGTTTTAATAGTTGACAAATATATTTTTATTATTGAAAGTAGATAATAATTTTATAATATAAAACCATGTTAATAAATTACACATTAATATAATCGAACTTCATTATATATTTCATAAATTGATTTTCATTCATTACAATCTGCATCTTTTATCAAGAAAAATAAATCTCTTTTCAAAAGAAGAATCCAAAATGAGGGATATCGCCGAGGACTCATTTGCTACTATTGAAAGTATTAAGCTACTTGATGTTGCTAATATATCAATAGATGAGCCAGAGTTGGATAAAGTAATTGTAATGATAATGAAGTAGATGATGTTGGTGATGTCAAAGAAAATGAAATTGAGACAATTTAGGATTAAAATAAAATGTTAAAGTAATTTATTTTATTTTTATTATCTTTCTTCTGTTTTAATGTCTTTTTTTAATAAAAGTATGTTGTATCAGGGAATCTGTATCGTATCGTATTCGAATTACGTATTTAAATTCGCGCAGCTTCTTAGGGAAAAAACAGCGACAATGGGAAACTACCCTTCCCTCTCATATTTACATTAGCAAATTTGAACAAGAGGGGAATGTAATCTAGCTCGACGAAGTATCACATTTTTATCCACCACTACAGACCAACCAATGAGGGGCTTCTGAAGAAGGAATTAAAGAAAGGATTAAGCCAAATGTACAGAGGTTCGGTTCACAGACCTCTTACCGACTCTCACATGAAGTGGGTCCCAATGATTAAAAATTGGTTGCTTCAAGGGCTGCTAGGTCCAGGAGATAGTCCTCGTAACAGGTTCACATAGTTGTAAAACCACCTTTTCCACCCTTTATTTGGTACATTTCGGAAGGAACCCTTCTTGTCCCCAATCCGAAACATGAAAATCATATTTCTGTAATTATCACAAATAGCATTAATGTCTAGTGCTATTAGTTCAACTAATATCCTTTTAAGTTCTGAAAACATAAATTAGCTAACATAGACCTACTTATTATGGACCAATCTGTTACATGTTCCTCGTACATTAATGCTCTTATCGTAAGTCCTCAGTTCTATTTAGTATTACTATATAAACACAAAATTTACTAGCAGTTAAACCCAGAGAAAGGATTACTCACGACCAACATTTTCCTCTTAAATGACCAATTTCAACTAAGAAAAAGATTCAAGTAAAAAGGCTACAGTCAGTATGAATGTACAATATCCTCTGTAGATCAAACACTATCACTTGTCAAGCACACCATTGCAAGAAGCACCAAATGTAAGCAACCAAATGCCATTATAACATTTTCAGCAGCTACAGCAATTTACCCAAAAGGAAAAGGGCTAGCAAACCAAACAGAGAAAAATAAATGTACAAAAAAAGTAGTTACCATGATTCTTGGAGCAAACAAGAGCTGCCAGTAGAAGACAACAGAGAATAATCCACTGAAGACAACAAAGTTTCTTGACCACCATCACTATTAACCAGCCAACACTACCAAAGCAAATGCACAAACCAAATGTGGGGTTTCTTAAGAGTAAAAGAAAGCAAAAAGAGGAAAATAACCTGATCCCAGAAAAAGTGCTTTCTTCTTTAACAACGTAACATTGTTGACCAAGTGGGAAAAAAAGGGGGGCGAGTGGGGGAAGCAAAAGAAAATATGGATACAGAAGCAATCAAGCACTACTCCTATAATATATCACCAGTGTAGTTGGTGCTATGTGACTGGCTAACACCAGTCCAAATGTCCAATTGGTGTCACGTGATACAATCTGAAAGCTAAATCATTTAGTTATAGTTCTTATTTAATGGCACCTTAATGCACTGGCAACTATTACTCTGACATTGAGCACAAATATTATTTAGGTAAAATTAAGGTTTGAATAATGATTTTTTTGGAGAATATATGATTAAAAGATAGAAAAAAAAAGTAGATTTACGTACAAATGTATAATTGAAAATGAGTATAGAAAAAAAAGTTTTTAAATAAGGGTTATGCTATAAGTACATGGATTCAAATCCCTGTACTTACAGCACACACACAACACTTGGGGGGAATTTTTTTTTTTTTCAATATTTTATACATGGGTCCCACACCATGTGAGTGGAAATTCAAAATTCTGGTAAAATTCTGGTAAATTTTTTCTGTACTTGAATCATTTTTCTTTAAATAATGGTACTCGGTACGGGACATTATTGGTAGGATTATTCTTCTTTACCAGGGCCTACGCCAGGGGACCAGCTGGCTCTGGTATTGGAAAAGGCTGAGTGGTGGTCCCAACCAGCCGTTGATTGATTTCTTTTATTAAGAAATTGATGAAGTTTAAGAATACAAATCATCAAATTAATCTGGGAATAAATGAAATGTCACCGCGATTCGAGCAAGACAGCTAACATTTTGGGTGAAAGAGAAAGGAAATTGTATAGTGCAATATTAATTAGTGCCTTTTGGGTATATATTTTTGGGGATTAGTGCTTGAGTATATAACAACAAATATGATTTTGTATTATTCATCATCCAAAGATGTAGGTCACTTACTGTTAGGTCTTGATTTAGATTTGCAATTCCGTGATCAAAGCATAATTGAGTTGCAATTAAAATCAAAATATGAGTTATTGGATTGTAATTTAAGCCAAAAGAGTTTGGGGTAGATAGAGTCCTAAAAGAAGTCAAATACATTCATGAAGATCAAGAAGCGGGAAGACGGTTGCTCACTCGCCGTGAGTTGAGTGCTCGAGCGCTCAAAATAGTAAAGTCATTGCTCACTTGGCGCTCGAGCAGCGACCTTTTCTGAGTAGTCTTTTTGCAATTTTTATACGATTTTTCTATCATATTTCAACCCAAATACTTTATATTATATATACTTAAGCCATACAACATCCCAAAACGTGGTTGAACATTATTTTATTCATCTGGATATATTTAGAATTGCACGGTTTAATTCATTAGATATATTTAATTGTGTCTTGTTGCAATTAATAACTTGGTAAATTTAAATTCCGTGCGTATTATACTTATTCACTCCCTTGTAAGTGTTAGTTGGATTGAACTTCATTATTTCACTTAGCATCTAGTCAACTAAAGACAAAATAAGAAATCTCGTGAGGTTTGCATTTCGCTCCACCATGCTTCCCTACTTCTCTCCGTAGTGCTTGGCAATTTCGCAAGGTGGTTGAGCACTTTCGTCAAAGTGTTTGGCCACCTCTCCCAATGTGATATCGCTTCATTTGTAGTTGTACTTTCTAAATGAGGTATCACATCTTGCTATAATGTATTTTTGAGGTGATAGGCATCCCCTATGAATGGCATCTTTTACAAATATCACCTAAGTCAAAAGATACTTCGTATAAAGATACTTTGTAAACTTGATATATTTGATAGTCTGCAGCAAATACGCTCAATCATCTTTTCAAATTGCTTTTATGATACAAGGCAAACTACTTTTCAGCTTGTGTCAGATAGCCACGGGCTTATGACAAATGTGATTGATACGTTTTGATTAGTGAGCCATCAAACTGAAGCCACATGTCAAGCATCCAATGAACGTCACTTCTTCTCTCTTGATATGCTCATACTTGTTGTCTGCCAAGGAAGGCTATTTTAGTAATGAAACAATGTGCACTATACTTACATATTGCAAAATTTGACACTCTCTTTCCCACCCAAATATATGTCTTCTTCATTGTTTGACTTGAGAATCGGAGTGCTCGTGGCTATCGTACCCCTGCCCAAGCTGTGATCACGAGCAATCTAACATGATTGTCCAAGTATACAGGTAATAGATACATGGACGGTACAAAAGTTTTATAAAGAAATTGACACTTCAAGTTCGATAACAAGGTGTCTTATCTTTATATATGTTTCTAAAATTTGGACACATTAGATAGTTCTCAACACCCATTGGACATGTATCAATATCTCACATGTTATAGTTTTTTTTTTTGGGGGGTTGGGGGGTGGGGTATAACCTCTACCCTCACCCCCTGCCCACTCTACATTTTCCCAATGTTTTTGTAGTATTTGACGCTTCTGCATGACAATTCATATTTATAAAATTTGGAACAAAAGATTGGGGAGATTTTTCATTATTAAGCTATTTGTGTACAACAAAAATCAATGAGAAATTTTCAGAACTTAATATTAAGCACTTGTTTGTTATGGATTAAAATCCAAATTTTAATATAAATCAAAATTAACAATTAATTTTAACCACATATTTCATGAATCCCACAACTTTTTAACCACACATTTCATCAATTTTTATCAAAATCTACTAAAAATCTGATTTTAATCTCCGTCAAACAATAATACTTAATACGCTTGTTGATATCTTGTTTTTATATTGTTGCCATTGGTAATGCAAAGTACAACAAATAATCAGTCATGATATTCAAAAGATTTCATTAGCCAAAGTCAAAATTACAACGCCAACCGTAATAATTTCAAGGAACAAAAAGTATATATTATATAAACAATACAGTGGATGACCTTACATTTTCACGTGCGTTGGACAAATCGCATATATAGTGCCATAAAATTATAAAATAATAATAATTTATAATAATTATAAGAGAAATAAATAGAAAACATGTTGGGCCCTCGCCCATTCAACTCAACATAACAATGTCAGGCCTCGTTGTTTATGAATGACCAAGCCCATACAACCTGCCAAAAAATTATGGGCCACGTCAAGTCATATAAAAATGGTGCTGGCCGGCCCAAAGTAAATATTCACAGGACTGGCTAGCCCTAGCCCAACAAACATTTTGGGCCTTGCCAAATTCTATAGGGAAAAATTTACAACTCAGGTGTTTACTATTCCAAAATTATTAAAATCCAAATTTTAATATAAATCAAAATTAACAATTAATTTTAACCACATATTTCATGAATCCCACAACTTTTCAACCACACATTTCATCAACTTTTATTAAAATCTACTAAAAATCTGATTTCAATCCCTGTCAAACAAGGGCTGAATTTGTAAATATAATACTTAATATGCTTGTTGATATCTTGTTTTTATATTGTTGCCATTGGTAATGCAAAGTACAACAAATAATCAGTCATGATATTCAAAAGATTTCATTAGCCAAAGTCAAAATTAAAACGCCAACCGTAATAATTTCAAGGAAAAAAAAGTATATATTATATAAACAATACAGTGGATGACCTTACATTTTCACGTGCGTTGGACAAATCGCAAAGATAGTGCCATAAAATTATAAAATAATAATAATTTATAATAATTATAAGAGAAATAAATAGAAAACATGTTGGGCCCTCGCCCATTCAACTCAACATAACAATGTCAGGCCTCGTTGTTTATGAAGGACCAAGCCCATACAACCTGCCAAAAAATTATGGGCCATGTCAAGTCATAGAAAAAGAGTGCTGGCCGGCCCAAAGTAAATATTCACAGGACTGGCTAGCCCTAGCCCAACAAACATTTTGGGCCTTGCCAAATTCTATTAAGGAATATTTCATATCTAAGAAATTAAGTACAAAATACTTCAAAATTAAGAAACAAAGTTTATTATTTCAAAAATTCAATATTTATTAAATTTTATTTATGAAATAATTAATTAAAAATATATTTTATTTATTAAATATATTAAGGTATAATTTATGATTATAATTATGTATTAATCATAATTACAGATGTCACAATTACAAATCATATATTTTATAGGTTACAATTTGTTTTTCGGTCACATATTATTCCTTGGTCTCAAATAACAAATTTTATAAGTTACAAACTTATTCATGGTCACAAAATATTAAATTAATAGGTCACAAGTCATTTATAGGTCACAAATTATCAAATTGGTTACAACTTCAAAAAATTAAGGTTACATATTATTTATTAGTCACAAATAAACTATTTCATTGGTCACATATTTTATATTGGTCACGCAGTAACCAATTTATTGGTCATAATCAACCAAATAATCTGTGACCACCACCTCACCACTATCTCTAGCAGTCCCGTTGCTAATATCTCCATCGTCAAAACTACCACCACCACTACCACTACCACCTCATGACAACCGACAACACTACTATCATTCAAACAAACCAACACCCACTACCAAAAACCACAACTACTTCACATAATCGCCGTCTCAATGCATAATCGTCGTCAAACAAGCACTGCAAAAATCACCAAACCAAGACCCACCATTCAAACAACCACTGCATAATCGCCATCAAACTACGCATAATCGTCGTCAACCACTGCATATCGTGCAGTGGCCTAAAGCAAGATTTTTTCCCGACCTCTAGTCATAGCTGCTGCTGCAGATCTCGGCCAGATCCCATCATTCACGGCCAGATCGCCACTGCTGTAGATCGCCGAGAGATCACAGCCAAACTCTTGTTATTTTACAGCCAAACCACTGCCGCAAACCACCATCCACCAGTGCACTACCAACACCAACAACATCGCCATCAATGGTGACAGAGAAACAAATG